ACGAATGAACGCAGCGTTCGTCACCCGCCGGTCCGTGACCCACGTGGTTGGGATCCACGCGTGGGTCCGAGGCCCGCCCACCACATATCACCAAACTCCTTCCGCCCTCGCTCTCCCGTCCCCTCTAGACCTAGCTTCGAAGACCCTTATTACGATCGCAGCGTCCCTCCTGTCCCGTTTGAGGATGGGTCAGTGGATGTTTACGGCGCACCAGCTAGACGCCCCAGACCGCCGGTTGATATGCCACATCCAGGACCACCACCGAACGACTATCTTCCGCCAAGGCCTATAGAGCACCAGCCACCGCCTCCTCCTGCTCGCCGTCCGGTCCCAGACTTCGTTACAGTTTTCGTGGGGAATTTACCACCATCTGTGACTGTGGATCAGCTTGCAAGCATTATGCGAGACTACTACTTCGTCCCCGGTTCGGTTCGAGTCCGCAGAGATATTCATGGTGTACCAACAGGAGAAGCTTTAGTAGATTTTAACTCAAATTATGATGCGGATAGAGTTATCAGAGACCTCACTGGTTACCGCATTTCCGGTCGCCCGATTGTCTTACGGTACGATCGTCGACCTTAAAGTTCAGTGCCCTTTCCGGTGGTCCAGTCTCATTTGGATGTTCAGGTGAGATTGCTATCTTTGGTGTATTTTTTATTTTCATTTACTTCAGATGTTATTAGTGAACTCAGCTCAGTTCTAGTGACTTTTAAGAGTTATTTTTGAATGATTTTTATTGGTCTGCATTTATATTGGCTATTTTTTTTACTGGAATATATGAGCAAAACGTGTACTTGGCATTCTTTTTGATTACTAAATCGATCTTGTCGAGCTATTTCTGCATTCGGCCCGAAAAAAACGTGGTTCTCATTTATGGATTTTCAGAATCAATCAATGGAACGTAAAGGACAGTGCTGCGAAATAAGCCTGATGACTAGTTCTGCATAAAACAAACATTAGATAAGCTAGAGGAATGCTGCCATTTTCCTAATAGAGGAAGATCTAGTCTCTGGTGACGTTGCACTGCTCGTTCGTAGCAACTTGAGCAATGTTTGTCCAAGGAACATTGAAGTAATCGTTCAGTCAACTTTATTCTGCGACCTAGATCTAGGCACCGATTAATTCAGACCACCAGCGGATTGCCAGTTCTGTAAAAATGACTTTCGTTTGTCCATCCGTTTCACCGGGATGTGAGTTGTTCTTGTTAATATGGGCATGTGACCCCCTTCAATGACTTGTGATTTGAGTCCGATGACTCCATTTCTATTAATTTTGCGACACATTCCCGCAGCTCTTTGCGAGGTGGGAGACCATGTTTGTCATGATTGAGACATTGTCTTGTGTTGTGGTGTGTGCAGTCATACTTTAATCAGAATATTTAGGTTCATCGTCTTCATGACTTGAAATAAATTATCGGGACTGATTGGTTACTCAACAGCTCTCCTCACTCGTTAGAATACAAAATAGTTTATTCCAAAATAAGGTTGTGTGGAAAATGCGGGAATGAAAGAGATTGTAGTAAAATAAATAACTTCCCCAGGGGACCCGGGAAAATCACACTGGAACTTATGTGAAAGCTTATCCACGCGAACTGATTGTTGCCATAAACAGTCGATGGATTCACGCGGTACAGCATGTCGATCGTCACCTGGCTGTTTCTGCTTTGAAGTGACCATGTTCTACGATTTATCGCTAAGTTATGTTGGCCAGCAGATGGTTCGCATGGATTCCAGAAGCGCTTCTTTTTCGTAGCCAAGTTTTTTTTCAATCGTACTGGATCAATATGGGTCCTATTTATCCGAAAGCTCCTTTGATTAACGTTCGTTAAGTATTACATCTTTTATTAATTGATAGTAAGGGGTTATCCTGCGGTATAACACCGCTCAACACCCATCTCTTAGTTCATTTTAGGGAGGTGATAGATCAAAGCCAAACTGATGGATGGAATCTTTTGATGTCACTTGACCCGATTTAATTCTATTCACCCAGATCTAGGAAAAAACAGTGCTCCCATTAAGAGATAGAGCGCTGCCAACTGTATCGTTTTTAGCCATCCGTAGAAATCTGGTAATTTTCCATTGATACTGACGACATGGCTCTCCCGAGGAAGAATGTAACTGAGCCTCACTGATATATACTATCGTCGTGAGAAATTTGAAACAATTCAAGCAAAGCAGACATCATTGCTTTTTACTCATTATTGAGGATTGGTAACTATTTCCAATCTTGCACAAAGGTTTCACTGTAATATATAAGCAGAAGGCTCCTGGAAAACGTCGTTCTCCGTGGTCAGTTCCCTAAAATGGATGTTCATCTTACCTTGAGAATCACCATTGGTTGAACTGAGTTTTCAAATACCAACCTGTTGATCACAGAGTTTCGGGGAGTTGGAATTCAGTTTTTGTCAAAAATGTGTTCAGTCTCAGCATTTGCTTCCACTTCAAAGATTTTGCCCGACAGATCCCCTAAGCAATAATATAACATAAACGAAATATGGTAGAAGACCAGTTAGACCGTCTTGAAGATAAAAATATCCCACTAGGGAAGGCTCTATACAGGTTTTTTAGCGTGCTCCATGTGAAACAGTTCTTAATACAGCCACAGGCCTCGATGACGCCTTATCTGACAATTGAAAACTATTTCTGCTACCGTTTTCTGGATGCTGATGAAGTGCGTTGTTTTGCAATTGAAGACAGATGAGATGGATAATTCTGGAGAATTACATCCATCATGTTGCAAACAAAAAAAGATTATTGTAAGCTCCACCACGATTACAGTAAATGAGGTCTCGCTGTTTGCGTGGGGTATGAGTTCAAGCGTGAAATGGCTTCGCTGTCAGATTGAGACTGTCGGAGTTTTTCGCAATGAGTTTCTTGATATCAGTTTCGTGAAAATCTCCAAAATGACATGATATTACGGTTTTTTTTCGAAAAAGTCAATACTAGTGGAATGCAAGCAGTTTGTGTGGACATTGTTATGATTTAATTTGTAATCAGTTGTGTTCACGAGTAACGCGNAACGCGTCTTGGCAGCTTTTATGCCCATTAGATTTTCTAAATGCGATCGTGCCATTTTGAGTGACGCTGTTAAAACGACTGCAGAAATGAAGCAATATGCAAGCTTTCGTTGACAGCAGTCTTGGCTCCGAATCACAGCATTTGCGAGGACCATTGCCAGTTGAACCGGTTTCAAAAGTTAGTATACCTGTTTGTGTCCTTGATAGACACATGAACTCTTGTAACTTTCTGTGACGAAGTGAATAAGAGAGAATAATGGAACAATCATACCCTCTTGAGTGCGATGTGAGCTGGAGCTGCCCGTTCCATCGCTTAGTCGAAAACTGATGAAACACTGTGGTATATGAGAAACTATCTCAAAGTGGTTTATATACTCAAACACCCACATTGTCATGGTTTTTCAACATAAAGTGCTCCTTATGCGTGGCTACTCAACAGAGTTAGATAATATCTCATCTTGCAATGCTCCTTGGTACTGGATCACGCTCATCATTTGGTGATTAACGGTCTATTTGTTGCCTGGAGTCATTTCTTATCCTTAGCTTACGTCCGGCGGTAGTAACGTAATAGTGCGTCTTATTTTCATTGATACCAATTGCATGAGCATGAGAATCGATTAAGGGCATCAGGAAGCCATCGGTGCTTCAAGGCACTGACCAAATCAAATCTAGGTGTCTGTTGGATAGCATGACAGTTGTTTTCCCTTTGTGTATGTTGGAATTTTCATATAATATTAAAATTCTGGAATCGCAAATGTGATATGATGTGCTCCAGTAACGAACTAATAATATGGGTTCTTTATTTCGTCTTTCGAAGGCACCAGGTACTCCACATGACAAAATACTTCCCGTTATTACATATGATGGCGTCCTACGCATACTGTTTGACGGTCACTTGGTTTCATTCCCACACCATCTACCTCTACAACAGCCTATAACCTACTTTGGCATCAACGGTTTAAACACAAGAAACGCTCAGCGTATCACTGTTTCTTCGGTGTAATTAGGGCATCTGCTTATTGGAAAGTTGACCTCGCGCCCTGGATCACTTTTCAAAGTGCAATAGTTCGGGGAATTCCGTTGAAAGCTAGTCTCGTTACTTAATCCAGGTGATCGAGTGTAACTCATCCAAACCACGATTCATTCTATCGTGTGTTCAGTCTACGGGTGATCTCCGTTTTCGCAGTATTATGTAACCAGCATCTGCGCTGTTGTTATGGTAAGCTTACGTATTGATAGATATCCCAGATAACCTTGAACGAAATTGAGTAGTGTGCTTTGTCTCAGAGAAAAATGGTTTTGGGCATTCACTTTCGGTGTATAAGGACTGCTTTGAAAGATGGGTCAGTAGGTGTTTGAGTTCGAATGGAGTAAATAATACATGCGCTCATAGTTAGGTATCTCATGATAATGCTGACCTCTTGGTTCCGAGTCCCACCAGAAATTTAACTATTCCAAATTAGATTCGTTCTCATCCCCACGTCTCAAAGCGATTGACTATGTGAGATTCAAGTTGGTATGAAATACAGTCGTGTTCCATACAGGCTTCGTAGATCTAAAAATCAGCTTTATTGTGAAACCATCCCGTGAATAAGTGAATTTTTTTATCGCAGACCAAGATTTTCGCGATTTCAGATCGCTAGACAATCACAGTCAAGTCTCACCTGCAACAATGTTCAGGGGCAAGCGGTTTGTGGTTTCTCTATCCTAGGTCAAATTCGCTGTCCCAGCAGATAGTTTGGAGTAATTGCCCTGGCATTTTGATGATGTAAATTGTTCGTGATGTATAGCTGGTTGTCTTTGCCGGGTGTTCTTTTAGGTGATAATAGACACGGCCGTTGTCTTCAGTTGAATCACAAAGCATGTAGGTGAACATTTCAGTCGGATATCGCCCAAAGCAAATATTAAAGTTCTTCACTTCAAATCTTGATTGGAAAAACTTGTTTTCGCGAAATTCTCTGGTTAATCCGCTTCTGTGTTTTGTGGTTTGCAGTCGGCAGATGTGCTTAGGTCAGCGCTAGGCTTGTCCCGGAGCTATAAATAAGACCAATTAAGACGATTTGGTGAATAAAAATGCGCCAACTTGTATTGCTGGACAAGATCCAAATTTATGGAGTATGCCGTTACTGTGACATTCGAAGTTGCATATTTTCGTCCAGGTTGAGAAATAAGTTCCGTCCAACTTGGCGTTCCTACATAAGCCGACTTTTTCATTGCACACCTAATGGCAGGNGCATTATGAGCGACTGAAGTAACAAAGAAAAACAACAGGATGAATGTCGAATTACCCCTGGCCAGTATGCTATGCTCATCACTTTGAAAACATCGTGTTCCCAGGTTTACTTCCTCGTATTACTGTTTGTCTACAGACCGTACGAAAAACTTCAGCTCGCATTCCAGTCTATTGACCACATAGAACAAAAGATCATGCAGATAAAAGTTGATTGCTTGAGCCTAGCAATAACCTGGGTTTGTATTCTAAGGCTGACATACAAATCATTGACTAACCTGATTATGTATAAGCTCAGGGTGAGCAATTTACAATTTCCTGTTTCAAGTAATACAA